AGCTGCAGCTGGAGTCGGCAGTGCTTGCTGAAAAGAACATAAAGGTGGGGAATTGAAGTGGTCTTGGAACGACTTCTCTGTTGTAAACTAGTGAGGCATAGGATACACGACTTATTTTACAATCACGCTTGTTTTCCAAGTGCTGTGTTACTGTTAAGGTTTTAACATTCGCTATTATGTTATTTAGAGGAACAAATAGAATAAAACTGATGATGAGCCCAACGTGTTATTGTAAGGAGCTGGGGTTTCTGCAAGAATAAGCCAACTCTGTTGATAAAGTTGGGGTTGACTCTTTTCTTGTTAACAGGTGAGCCTTCTCAGCCCCATCACAAGATGGATGACAGACATACAATGGCACTTTGAAGAACACCTCCAAATGGTGTTCACTGATACTTAAATGAATATGGAAATTAGTAAGAGGTTTATTTTTTTTCTACTACCTTCACTCACTGTATTTGGAGGATGTGATCCCCATAACAAACTTCAGGTATCATATGGCTTCATGTAACGTCGTTTGCATTTATACAAAGAATGTTGTGGCTTAAAGTCAAGGCTGTTTGTCTCAAAATATCACAGTAACATTTTCTTTTCACTCTTTCTACTCTTAGCATTACTCTTTCTTCTGCTGTCTTCATTAGCAAAAAAATCAACCCCCCAAATGCTACTCCTCTGAAGGATAAATCCCTCCTTCTCTGTTTGCTCTTGCTGCTCTTACTCACTAGGTCCATGACATTCAGACTCCTGTTTGGGCTGTATAATTTTAATGAAGGTCTAAATTCTTCATATGTTGCCAGCAACCGGGCTGGAGTGAGCCACAGCAAAGCTCTTCCAGATAAGAGAAGCTGAGTACAATTCAAAGTGCCTGCTGCTCTTGCCCTCCTGTCAGCCCTTCCCTACCGAGTCGTATGGGAGAAGAAACTCCTGGATAAAGTGGTTTGGGTTGGAAAGGAGCTTAAGCAGTGAATTTTTTTTTCCTCTTTATTAGGAGGAAGAGAGCCCAAAATTGCTGCACCAGCAGCCTGGGCAGGAGAAGAGAGCCAAGCAACCAGAATCCATTGCCATGGCTTCTAATTCCTGGCTCAAAGGGGCAAAGGTGAGCGTGGGCTCTAGCGACCTTGTTGATCTGGATGTGAGGAAAGACAGGAGTCGCTTTATCTTTGTGTCTTGGATTTGGTTTTCTTCTGCAGAAGAAGACACAGAGGGACTGAGGATTTTTTGCAAGAGCCCTAGAAAATACGGCTCGGTTCCAGAGATAGTCTGGCTGTTTTGCTTGGGTGAACATGAATGAAAAATGACTTAATTCTTGCGTGTTAACAGGAGGAAGATGGTCTGCAGCAGCCTCAGCAGCAGCTGGGAGAGGTGAAAAAAACCAAGCAACCAGAAGCGTTGACTGCTGCCTCTGGCACATGGCTGAGCGAAACCGTAAAGGTGAGTCCTGATTCCAGCAGAGCCCTTAAATAAAATGAGTCTGTAGTGTCTAATTGGCTCCTGTGGTTTGGAGCCAGCCTGCGGATTTATTATCCGTCAGGGATGGAGCAGGACATGAAGTCCTAGAGTGTAGGCTGTCGGGTTTAACAGGCATCTGTGCAGAGCATGGGGATGTCTGTCGTCTTGGGTGCTTGGCCGAGAGCTCGGCACAGGGGGAACCTGAAGGAAAAACAAGTTTACGTTGAACAAGATGCTGGAGGCGGCCGCAGGATGGCAGCACGCCCTGGGGCCTCCGCCTGCCCGCAGTGCCCGCCTGGCCCTGGGGCATCGCACCCCGGCCGCCGGCTCTCCAGGAGCCGGTTTGCCTTGGAGCTGCTCGGACCTGGAGCTGCAGGGGTGGAGGGAAAGCTGCTCACAGGTCTGAGTGCTGCTTCTGCTGGGAAACTCTTGTCTTGGGGCTGACTAGCTCCTCGTCTTCCTGCTCGACTTCTCCACGCTGCGGCTCACGTCAGAGCTCTCGAGAATGAGACCAGATCTGCCATGAAAGATGTGACAGGGTTGAGCGGTAGAGCCATGTCTGCAAAAGCCAAGTGCTTAGACATGCATGGTACGCTCTTCTAAGGCTTTTCTATGAGAAACAGGAGGAGAAAAGGGTTAAAAGTAGTTATCGAGTCACTGAGCACAGTGGCAGTTTTTGTATTTGTGCAGATGTGTGCATTACTTCTGCCTTCCCTTAATGTAGAGAGTCCTGCAGAATTAGGCTTGCCTCCTGGTTTATTCTCTGGTCAGCACCTCTAGGTACTCCCGTACAACTCTCGGGGCTTCTGGCCATCCCTGCTCCTCACTGCGAAGCCAGGAGGTGTCTCCGAGCTTTGGGTTGCGCTGTTCTGACCTGCAGCTTCAACGTGAAAGGGAGCCCTGGCTCTTCCCAGGCTCCTCCTGGGAGCTGCAGGGTAGGCAAGCGGCTGTTTCAGCTCCGCGGTCTGCAGTCCCTGCTGCAGCACGCGGCTCTGTGCTGCGGCTCGGCTATCGGGGGGCCATGGTTTCAAAGCAAAGTTCACTAAAAAAAAAGCCAAAAGGATTTGAGCCCTTCTGGGTTTTACTGAAAAACTCAACCCAAGGTACCTGTCAGGTAGGAGTATTATAGCTGTTCCAGTTAACGTGGAGATCAGAGGCTTCCCATACACAGGTGGGTGACCTTGGCTCTCCCGCTTTTTGAACTAGGGATGAAAATGAGTGTGAATGATGCATCTGCTCTAGAAAGTCGGCTGTCAGCTCTGGTTTCTGGCTACCTTCCCTTTAGAGTGAGGTTCCTTGCCCAGCATGTGGCATTGGGAACTCGGCTCGCGGCTCGTGCGCGGTGCGAGGGTACTGTCTGCATGCCTTAACAGCATCCTGCTGTGGGATCCGAGCTGGGACCTTAGCGCAGTCTGTTCGTCTCGCTGGTGCCAGCGCTTTGCGACGCCTGCGGAGGCTCTGGTCGTCCGCCTGCGCTGGCGGGGCAAGCTCTCCCGCCAGGCTGGAAGGGCTGCTTCCCGCTCTAACCAACGCTGCCTCTGTGCTTTCAGAAATCTACCTCCACGTCCCACTTAGGGCCCCCAAAGGGCACAAAGGAATCCAGATCCCCAAAGGTAAACGAAAATAACTACGGGATGGATCTGAACAGCGATGACTCCACAGATGATGAGAATGAACCTCGGAAGCCTGTCCCCGCCTGGGCTGATGGTAGGTGCCGAGTTTGGTTCGGCTGCCTTGCGTTCCTTCCCTGGGGAGCTGGTGCTTTCCAGATGCACCTGGTGCAATCTCAGCCTCCCCAAAGCCCAGTCCAGGAGCGCAGAGGCTTCGGCAGCGCGGGCAGCCGCTGGCTCGGACCGGTGAGGGGGACTGGAGCTGCTTTCCTGCAAGTGCTGTTGTGTCGAAGTTAAACCAAAGACCTCCACGCGTGCGTTCGGATCCGAGGGTGTGAAGAGAACGGTGCGGGCTCACCAGTAATGAGGCAGCCCATCCTCGGGAGGGAAGCCAAGGTGGGGCGGGTTTGGGATACGTCTAGTGCACTGAGTAACTTAAAACGAGCGCTGCTGGCAACCTGAAGGTGGGTGTGGGGCTCAAAGCTTTGCAACCGGCAGGAAAACTGTTAATCGCACTCACGGTACTGGTAGGAGATAGTTTTTTCAAGCATGCAAGAAGACCAGCCGTCCTGCAGGCTCCGAGGGAGCGGGCGCCTTAAGCAGAGCACTGAAAACTTGCTTGTAATGAGTCTGCTTCTCTGGTGTGGTTGTTCCCACAGGCTCTCAGCTCAACCAAGCCATTTTACACCAGTACTATCACCCAGTGAATGTCGACCAACTCTTTGGGCTAATCCCAAGCCCTAAGCTGGAGGATATTTTTGGCAAGAGCAAGCCTCGATACTTCAAGCGCACGAGCTCAGCAGTTTGGCATTCCCCGCCTGAGACCAAATCCGCCTGTGGCCCGTCTTGCAACTTCAAAAACTGAGAAAACAAAGTGACAATATGGTGTATCAGTTTGTGTTTTCTTAGCATGCAGCGTGTTTACAATTTTAAGCCTTTTCTTTTAACAAAAATAAAAATATTTAATAAAACCCTGTTGCAATAAACACTCCGTCAGTGTTTGTGGCCCTCATGGTGGGATGATGCTCCTGGATGGCCGATTTGAGGTCGTGACGGCTGTGGTTTCTGCAAGTGAGGACACAGATGTTGGAAGGCATGATGTTGCACCGTTAGGTGTTCCTTCAGATCGTTTGCAGAATCTTACACCAGGAAGCTATGAAACTGCTGCGAGGAAGATCAAATTTTTTAATCAACCTGAGGGGGTAATGTTTTTATAAACCACTCTCTACTATATTTATGTATTTAACACTGCTTCTACCTGCAAGTAGTTTTCCTTCAAGAATTCTTGTGACTTCTTGTTACTCTGAGCTGGAATCTTTTTTTCCTGCAGTTAGGAAAATCTGCTTGGACAGTTAAACAATGTCTAAATGTCTTGTCACTGTTCTCTTCTTTCCTAAAGGAAAAACGAAGCCCAGGCTAAGTTCTTGGTCCTGTTTTTCTAGGAGGCTTTAGCGTACCGTCCTGTGTGGGCAGGAGGCAGATTTATTTGGAAGTCGTGGCTTGGAAAGGGTAAGCAGTAAAATGATTTCCTTAGGGCCGCGTCGGTGTCACCTGCTGCGTGCCCCCCTGCCCGTGCGCACCCCGGGGCCCGCTCAGCGGCAGCAGGCAGCTCCTGGCTCCTGCGGCGCATCCCGAGCCCGGGCAAGCAGCTGCCTGGGGCCGGCTACGGCACGCCGGGGCGGCCACGGAGCGTCCCAAGGCCCCGCAGAGCTGCGTGGGGGCAGCTGTGCGCCCGTGCTGTGTCTTGGCCACCCTTGCGGCGTTCCAAGAGCGATTCGGTCACTAAACCCTGCTGACAGTAGCAACGAGGAAGATGCTTAGATGAAAAGGGAAAGTCCCCGAGCCAGAGCCAAGTCCCACACTCGCCATAATAACCTTTCCTTCCTTTTTTCAGTTCTCGCTTCTCGGGCTGTGCTGCCTAGCACAAACGTGAACACAGCGGAGGGACTCTGTCCCGCCTTAGGCGATGGGATGTGTTGCTCTGGGATCCCTTGTGCAGGTAGAGGGTTGGGGCTGTTTACTTTCTCTGGGTGATCAGAGCTGTGAGCCAGCCTCGAGGAGGAGGAGGGTCCCTGTCCCTCTGTCCCTCTGTCCCTTGCCGGTGCAGCCCTGCGCTGTCCCCATGGGCTGGTGCCACAAGGTCTCCTTCCCCTGACCTCCAGCTGCAGGCTGCCAAGAGCAAATACAGAAATGTGGCCCTGGACCTGTTCAGACCTCTCTAGGCCTGCTTACCTCCCTTCAGAGGAGGCTTCAAGCTGGTCAGAGTGGTTTTGTGGAGCTTTATCATGGGCTTGGAGGGTTTTGAGTGGTTTAGAAGAGTTTGCAAGTGTCTCGGTGGAAGTCTTGCAGGCAGTTAGAGCTTTTGATGGGTCTTTGGAGCTTGGGGCTCCGCAGAGCTGGTGACAGCAGTTGAGATGAGCTTTGCAGAGGCACAGAGCGGCTCGGAGTGCGTAAGCAGAGCTCTATAGCGGCCAAGGGCTGTTTAAAGCTGCTTGCCAGGAGCTCTGTCCTGGCTACCGGATTGCCCACCCCAACTCCTGCCTCCCCCCAGCTTTTCTGTTCATCTTGGGCTCCCTCATTGTCCCACTGTGGGGCTCTCGGTGACCCTCGCTCTTCTGGCTGGTCTCTCTTGGGTCCCCCTGAGCTCTCTGGGCTTATCTCGGTGTCTTTTGGGCTCTCTTGGGTCCCTCCAGGATTTCAGTGGCCCTCGGGTCTTGCAGCCTCTCTCCGTAGTGCTACCCAAAGGAATAACTCAAAGGTGCAAGACGCATTTGACTTAGTTTTTACTGAAAAAGGCTGAACCTTTCGGAGAGGAGACATGCTCAGACTCAAACGATCACACCGTGAGTGCCCTTGCCCCCCGCTCCTCAGCGCACTGAGCTTTGGGGGCACTGGCAGTGCTCTCCCAGGGCAGCAGCAGTCGCAGGCTCCAGCTGGTCCCACGGCTCCGGCGGCCACTGCGGCGCGTTCCCACCTCTCCTGCTCCCCGCCGCGCCCAGCCCAGCTGCACCCCGCTCCTCCCTCTCGCCCAGGGTGCTGCAGAGCCGATTTCAGCCCACGCGGCAGCACCCTCACCTTGTCTCTCAGATTTGCCGGGGTTTTTTGGCCTTTGGTGCTCCTGGGTTCCTCTGCGCTTTCCCAGGTGCTCTGGGCTCCCTTGGCTCAGCTCTCTGGGCTCTCTTGGATCCACCTGGGCTTTCCTGGTCTCTCTGGGGCTCTCTTAGCATCACTTGAGCTCTCTTAGGATCTCCCTGGAGGTTTTTGCCCCCAGCTTCTCTGAGCTTTCTTGGACTCTTGACCTCTCTCGCTAGTGGCTTTCTCAGGTGCTTTCAGGGTGGCCGTGGCACCTCTGAGCTTTCTTAGTCTCTGCAGACGTCTGGGATGCTGGATGGTGCCCGTTTCCCCAGGCTCTCTTGGGCTCTTCCAGGCTCCCCTGGTGTTCTCGGGTTCCCCTGAGCACAGGCTCCGGCTGTTCCCTGCCAGCTGGCTTCTGTCCCTCATGGTAATCCTCAAATTACCTCGTTAGACAGCGCCAAGGAGGCAAGGATTTCGGGGCCCTGGCAGAGGATGGGAGCTGGAGGTCAGCCTCTCGGCCGGAGCTGGCCAGAGGTGCCTGGCTGCAGGAGGGCCCAGGCTTGCTGGCAGGAGGGAACGGAGGCCGTCAGTCAGCGCCACGCTTTGGGGTGAACAGGTTTTCTTTCAGTCCCGTGCTGGTGCAAGCAACGCCTGTCAAACCACAGGCGTGATGTTCCAGAGATAAGCAGAAAGCTCCCAGGGCCCCTGCTGCTCTGACTGCAGCTGCGGTTTCGTTGCTGGTCCGGGACAGGTAATGAACAAAAGCTGCGAAGCTTTGTGAAGCGGTGAAGGATTTTGGAGGATGTGAAGATGGCGGGGCCCTGCCAGGCTGCGAAGGGACCGGGAGGTCTGGTCCCCTGCGCAGCCCCGGTTCGGGCATCGGGCAGGCTCCGCCAACGAGCCGCCGGGCCGGAGCCCCCCGCTGAAGTAAGTCCTGCTTGTCAAATGTATCCTATATTCAGGTTGGGTTTTACTTCTTTGAGAGCAGCTAGCTTCTGTAATGTCTCTTTGTTTAATCCAGATGCCTTCAGCCTTTGGAGAGGAGAAGGAAAGAGGTTAAATCCACCCAAGCTATTGACTGTTGGCCATGACATTGCACAATCAAAAAAAAAAAAAAAAAAAAAAAAAAAAAAAAACATTCACGGGGGGGGTTTTTTTGGGGCCCCTCCG